TCAGATATACTAATTTTTGACCTTTTCAAACTGGACCAAATCACTACTTTACCTGAAAATTCATGCCCCAATTTTTTTTTTACATGTTATTTCACCCCCCCCCCCCCCACCCCCCCCCCCCCCCATAAATACGGAATTATAACGTAACAATTCTTTGCATTCGCAAATACAGACTATACAGAATTTTAATTACGTATATATATGCAGAATTCGAATTCCGTTATACAGGGAATTATTCCTACAGATTCTCATCAAACTATTTTCAACAAATTAGGCGGGGTCAGAATATGGTTTGCTTTATAAAATACAGAATCTATTATGTATATTGGATATTGTGTTGCTCGAATATGGCCAAATCCGACCATCCACCTTGGGGATTACATGGGCAACTCTGCGTCTCATTAACCTACGACTTGTAAAATAATTATATTAAATTTGCTTAAAAGTGAGGCAAACTGTTGCATTTTTTTTTGCGCGACCTAAGGGGGGTATTCTACTGGGGCCCGAATTGTGATGCATTTACATACACTTAAGCGGGAGGTTTGGCTAGCCATAGAACTAGGTTCAACCCACTTTTTTTTCTTAAAATGTCCTGTACCAAGTCAGGAAAATGGCAGTTGTTATCAAATAGTCCGTTTCCATGAATGTTTGTTTATGTAGCAGTTCAGTGTTTCTGTTGTTCCGTTGTTTTCCTATTATAGTTGATGTGTTTCTCTCGGTTTTGGTTTGTGACCCGGATTTGTTTTCGCTCAATCTATTTATGACTATTGAAAATCGGTATACTACTGTTGCCTTTACTGTACATTTTACAAGATATTGTTAATAATACTAGTAGTAGTATCTGTTTTCTTCAATATTCGCATTTAGAAATTGACATTCAGCATCACGCGCTTTTTTAAGAGACATTGACGCCAGTTTACTCCAAAATAAAAATTAAAAATCTATACATTAGTGTTATCCACAGTCAGCTTGCCTCAACAGTTTTCTTGACTTAACCAATGAATGGTAGACAAACCAAGCGTTAGTCCAGGAGAAGGGAAATCATCTTACAAAGACACACGCGGGACGAGAAAGACACAAAGTGTCTTAGATACATGATTGTTTATTTGTTATTGGCTTTGAACTAGCTGTCTGTAATTGCGAGTACTCTCAGATCTGTACTTTGTGTTTTTGTTGTTGTGAGGGATTTATAAATTCTCTGCCACGTCCGATCTGTGTTTTCGTTAGATGAAGTTCTGCTTTGTATCGATCTGATGAAGCCCTTTTCAACTGATTTTTATACTTTGTTGTACTATTATACCACTGTCCCATGCAGGTTTGGGGAGGGTTGGCGTCTTCAAACATGTATAACCCTGCCACATTCTTTATATGCCTGACCCAAGTCAGGAGGCTGTAGTTCAGTGGTTGTCGTTGGTTCATGTCTGTCATATTTGTTTTTCGTAAACATGGTAAATTGTTTCAATAAAAGAATATACGCTGGGTTTACGACAAATTACCCTGTTTCTCCTATTTTATTGTCTTTCATGCAAAATATAACATTTCCGCGACAAAATTAAATAAAACTTAACTGAGTGATACAAGGGGTTGAAAGTGTTACTATCGAAAAAAGTGGGTAGGGTTATCCAACTCGAATATATCTATTTATGTAGTTAATGATGATCGAAACCTCACTACTTTGATACGAAAGGAGGGAAACCGAAGATCCAATAAAAAGAAGGTAAATCAAGACACAAAAACAAAACCGGGGACTAGAACAGTACAGAATGACAATGGATACATAAACGCCGAAATATAAAGACAAATAAAATACCCGGACCCGTAAAATGAAAAAGGAGGACGAGGATAAGGACCAAGCAGTTGCAATATGCATTATGAGTATCAACTCCAAGGCACTGAGGCAAATATGCCGCATAGGAAGAATAATCGGAATCTAAACGCACAACCACATATATTATCGAGGACGGAGTTGGTCTTTTTGAAGAAAATTTACCCATACACTTATGACAGATGCATTGTCGGAATAATGAGCTGTCGGAATAATGGGATGTCGGAGTAATGGGCTGTCGGAGTAATGGGATGTCGGAATAATGGGCTGTCGGAATAATGGTTGTCTGACTAACGAGATGTCACCTATATTTTGCCACCGCCGAGGTCTTGGCTCAAGGACTTTTTACATTTTGTTACCTTGTCTGTCTTTGGCTTTTCAATTTTCTGCCACTAAGAAACGAAAAGTAATTATCTAAATTATTAACAACATTCAGCACTTTTCTTTCAGATTACTTTCTCCCATTTTTAAAGTACCTCAAGTAACTATTGCGATGACGAAAAACTAGCGTTGTTCTCCCTCTTTAATGTCTGCTGTTTCTGCTGTTGTATGTTAATCTGAAGTTGCCGTAAAATAACTTCACTTTCGTTGTTTGTAAAAAATATTTATAAACAATATAGTACACAACGCTTATTTGTACAATTTTATTCGGTAAATATAAGCATTAATAGCAAGAAAAGCCAAAATTATACAATCTTATGAAAAATCCTTTTCGTGGAATATTAATGATATTTAAAAGCCTTTTATTGCCGCATCTTTTATATAGGTGGTAAGTGAATTCAGTTTCGTGCTGTGTACAAATATTTATAAACAATATAGTGCACAATGCTTCTTTATACAATTTTACTAGATAAATAGAAGTTTGAATAGCAAGAAAAGCGAAAATAATATACTTTTCTAAATCCTCCTTTTCGTGGAATATAAAGGTAAAGGCCTTTTTAGCCGTGATTAAGTGGTATTGATTTATACGTGATCTATCAAATGTCAGATATTATATTCCAGAAAGGTTTAATTAGAATTTCACAGAAATGCGAGGTGATTTAGTTGACATTTGTATTCCGGCATGATACTATGATACTTTGGAATAAATAAAACGATGGATCGGATTCTACATTTCAGAAAAGACGAAGAAAAAACATTACTAATTATAGGTGTTATTTAAGTTGGATTTTTGAAACTATTAAAAACGAAATTCTCCCTACTTATAAAGGTCAAAATGTACTGATTTACTGTTAGACTTCAACATTTAAAGATGATTGGAAAACGGATGCAACAAGCCCGGTAAGTTTGACTTTAATTTCTGCCCAGAAAATACTAAATATAAATATGCCAAATGAAATTTTTTAAATATTGTTTTATCAGGATGTTTGTTATCAATGAACTAAAACATAATTAGATATGTATTGTTATACAGTATTGTACATTAACGGTCTTAATGTCTGTTGATACTTATTTTTTTGGCATTGCAAAAGGTCATGTTTTTCTCAGACTGTTTATAATGGGTTTACATTAAATCCATTGGATGTGTATTGACTGATATTTTAGTCTTGAAACATGATGTGTGTGTAAGTTGTAATTGGCTTTCAATAACTGCAAGATCCATACTTTGTGTCTTAAGTGTCCTTTAACCCAGAATGTTTGGTCTAATGTTCATGAAATTGTAACCATTAAAACAAGAACTCTTCAATGTTCATCGCTGTTCTTCAATGCAATTTTTCGGTGTCAAAATGTAAAGATCTTATAATTCTATTTTTTTTCAACTTAAACATTATAATTTACAAAGGATGTATTGAGAATTTAAAAGTAAAAAAAATCGCAATTGTCTTTACTACAAATTGAGAAACAGCATACACATTTAAAATTAAGAATATATATTTCTTTTTTTTTCTTCAAAAAAATATATATTGAAATGGTTCTGTGAGTATTAATTTCAAATTAACACTACACCGCATACCATATTCATAAAATTATTTTGATTTCATCAGCAAATAAAAGTCGGACAGTTACAATATGCTTTGAATAAAATTGCTCTCAAAATATATTTTTGCTTGCCATAATTCGATCGCCCTTCAATCATTCAAATAACTCGACTCGCGATATATTGAATAATGTAAAATCATAAAAATCGTTCTTAACTGATTGATACTCTGAGATTTAAAATATTACATGGAAACAAGTACAGAAGTGTCAATGTTGATCAGGGCCGTATTCATAAAGCTACTAAGGTTATGTGTTAGGTAATAAGACTCTTGTCCTTTTCTAACAGAATGGGGCTCCATATGATTTTTAATGCATTTTAGGAATTCAAATGGTCACAAATTACAATTAATATAATAGTGATGTTACGCGACTGTTTTATTGATTGTTTTGAGCAAATTTAAATACTCTCAAGACGACCTGAGATAAACTGGATACTTTATGGGTCATTGTTAATTATTTTCTGAAAGGGGTTATGAAGTTATTTTATTGCGTTCTATTATTAAAAGTTGTTGTAAAACATAACAATTTATTTTATTAGAGAATATTTGTATTAACAATATTACAAGCTTTTTATTATTATCATTTTTGAGAGTTTTTCAATAGATATTAATATATAACAATGGGGATTTCAACAGTATTATAAGGCAAATATCTCAAAGAAAAGACTTTTAAGACTGACAACTTTGTCTTTTATAAAGAACTTTTATTGCATTTTAGGCTCATCAAGTTGCAAATGAGATGTGAAATTATTGACATTAAGACGTAATAATTTAGAATGATTATGACATTTTGACCGAATGTTGATTCGCATGGCGGTTGATGTATCCATAATTAGGAGACGCTTACCTGGTTGATGCAGGCCTGACAGCAACTGTTTTTGGGGGCTTTTTGTCTTACTAAGGTAACGATGCAGTAGTAACATCGATGTACATCATAATGAAAAGAAATGTTGTTGGAGCGGAATCGAATCTTTCGGTAAACGTTTTTGATTGTTTTCGAAACAAAGATTGACTAATAAATTTCGTCTGTCATAACTTTTAAATGTTTTTATTTTAATATTTCCCTTTTTTAGAGTAGGTATATATTACCACACATTGCAACATTAATCAATTTGTTTTAAGAAAAAATATTTTTTCTATTTTTACAGTGAGACCGAGTTATCAACAAAATGAGCATCAAAACAATATCAGAAAGAATGTCATCCCAGTATTCACAACGTTCGCTTCGAATACGTCCTATCAAAATGCCATTAGAGCCTCTAAAGGTATCCCATAGGTCAAATACAAATGAAAGAATTTTCCTTGAGGCTGTTGAAAGGGGAGATAAACACACTGTCGTACGTTGTTTAAATGAACCAAATCCCGTTAACGTTAACTGTACAAATATGCTTGGAAGATCGGCAATTCAAATTGCTGTTGACAACGAAAATGTTGAAATCGTAGAAATCTTGCTTCAACAGGATGGTGTCGAAATAGGAGATGCCTTGTTATACGCCATCAGAGAAGGTGTTTACAAGATAGTGGAGATGTTGATTGACCATCCATCAATCAAATCTAACATGCTAGGTTCAGAGTGGTCCAAAATGAAAAATAATGGGCATGGAGAAGAGAGTTCCGATTATTCATCTGATATATCGCCCGTAATGTTGGCAGCACACTGTAACCAGTTTGAAATTCTACAGCTACTTTTGCTAAGAGGTGCAGACATTAATCCCCCACATCAGTTATCGTGTTCATGCAAAACCTGTCAAGAACAGGTACACAAAGACAGTCTACGTCATTCTTTATTTCGTATCAACACTTTTCGAGCCTTGGCGAGTCCGGCCTGGATTTCATTGACGAGTGCCGATCCTATTTTGACAGCATTTAAATTGTCACATACGTTAGAAAAACTGGCACTCCGTGAGAACGAATTCAAGGATACTTATATGGAACTCCGTGACCAATGTCGACGATATTCTTGTGATTTGTTGGACCAGTGTCGGAGTAGTGAAGAAGTTATTGCTGTCTTAAATAAAGAATGTGATCCGTCAGATGAGGATTTTTCAGGCTTCGGTGCAGCACTTGAAAGGAATCCAAACGAAGATAAACTGACTTTATCAAGACTAAAACTTGCCTTAAAATATGAACAAAAGCAGGTATTGTAGACAAATATTTCTATATCTGTTAACCTTTCGTACCTTTTTATGATATACGTTCAGAGACTTTTTTGCTTAGTTTGCCGCTGAAGTTGAATGTTAAACATCCATTCATTTCTCCATCATTTTTTAAGAGAATTTTAAAGGTAGATAATTCAATTCTCATTTTAAATGATTAAACTAAAAAGGAGCGTAACAAAAAAGAAAGAAAGATAAGATTCGTACCATTTTATTGACAACTTTTCCGTCCTCGTTAGAAATATTTGATTTTAAAAGTGTCATTGATAATCCTAAACCTTTCTGTCGTCCGAGATGTGCTTCCATTCTCCGATGATTTATCAGGAGTGAATGATCGAGGCTGATACTAGAGCTGCTAAATCGCTCGAACTGTTTAAGCTGCTAAGTCGCACAAGCTTTTTAAGCAACATTGCACGAGCTATTTGAATATTTATCATTTATTCTGTTTGTTAACATAATGAAACGAATCTGCAATGCTTATCTAACATACCATTTTAAAAGATATGAATCAAATTGAGTGAAGGGAAAATTCACTGAATGGTTTTTGTAAACGCAGATTAATAACACGTCGTCATGTCTATCTTTGTCGTTTTCAGGTATACATAATTAGATTTTTAATTAAATAATACTTAAATACGATAAAAACGTAACCTGGACATTGAATAATGCGTACCTTTTGTTTGCTCACGTTGATAGTTACGTCATGAAAAACATGACCAACAGCAGGAACGCTTCCGTATTCAAGTTCACTTTTTTCAACACTAGAGAAGTTATTCGGGAAAATCGTATTTCTTTTGTAAACCGGATAATTTATTGTACAGACTTCAATCGTGAAGCTAATCACTTAGGTGTATAACAGATTATTTCTTAATGATTTTTTTTGTAATATCATTACACAACGTAAAAATAATTGATGGCCTTAGTACTAGCCTGCAAAATCATGTTATCAATTTGATTTTGAAAAAAAAAATAAGTACATTGTATAATGTTATTTGGAATATCTACTTATATTACTCTTTCACATGACATACTTGTCTCAAATTGTAATGGTCTCTTTATTTTTGCGTTTTTGTTCTGTGGAAGCGCCATCACATTGGTATACTGGAAATAATTGATAAAATGATATTAGTGTACACATGTATACAAGTGATATAAGATTGGCTTTTATGGTAACTGTTTGTTCCTAGAAAAAACACATTTAGAACCTGCTTAATGTTAGTGCAGATTCCTCAATTGACTTTTCTGCATCCTTTCACTTCTGATTTTGTTTGTTTGTTTCCAACATTGCACTTCGGAGCGAGCAACCTACGTCTTGCCGTCCTGCCTCCCAGTCATGCAAAGTTATGATTCCTAGCCCGGCTTTGGCTATACTTTTTGCTCTTTTTGGATTTATCAGCACTACAATTTTATAATTAGTTTTTGATTTTCAAATATTTTGGCGTCGAGCATCACTGAAGAGACATTTATTGTCGAAAGGCGCATTAGGTGCAGTAAAATGGGTACCGTTAATGTTATTTGTCTTTCAATTATATTGTTTGACCTTAATTATTTGATATCTTTGTGATTTACTCTTTATAATTAAAAACGAAGGATTGTCTCCCTTACATATCGACAAATAATCCAGTAAACGTCGAATCATTTAATGTCATACACCAAATTTTACCAATTTTAACTAACCATTCAGTCTGTGAACATTAGAAAGACAAATACCGACACTTGTGAAGGCTATTTGGCGAACCGAAATATTTCTCTTTTATATGATAAAGGTTCATTGTGATTGTTGTCTGTTTGTGTAGCATCGTCATTTCCAGGTAATCCGATACCGATTGAGTTTGCAGTTGGTTGTTCCCTTAAATCATATGATTGCTGGTTTTCTTTTGCTTATTGAGGCATTGTTCTGTGTTCTATAAGAATGACGAAATGGTTTGCAAAATTCAATTCTAATTCAATCGATATGAAAAAACGTGAATAAAAAAATACTAACTTCGGTATGGATTAAATGTTATTTTATTATTTTAAAAGTAATTTTAAGCTTGCAATAACTCCTTTTATCTTCTGCAATATATTCCTCATTCCGAAGCATTTTAATAATTACAACATATACGATATCAAAGGAAACCACAAAAAATTAATTACAGCTTAGAGCATTGTAAAAGCAATGAAACTTCACGGGTATCACTTTTCGCATTTCAAGTTTGTTTTAATGTTATAACTTTTGACTTCTATTATTTGGCATTTGTTACACACTACTGATAAAGTAACATGCATATTACAGGACAATATACTGTGTTTGCTAACCAATGATTGTGACCAAAAATCTCAATCGGGTTTTTTAATCATAAAGACTTCCAATACCAAGCTAGGTCTAAGTAGTCACCCCTTGTGCTAATAGCAAACGAATTGTTAAATGTCATCTTTTTTGCACCTGAAATGAAATAAAGGCAGTTTAAAATCCTTTCAGAAGAGACATAAGAAAGAAGTTTGCTGATATCACTTTATCTAGTAGTTATATCAAAGTTAACCCTATAAATGCAGTAAATGTGCCATTTCATTATTAAACACCAATTACGAGATCAATATTTGTAAGGGAAGATATATGAGATCGGTACATGTGTCATTTTACAGTTTTATATAAAAATAAATATACATTTTAAGTGCATTTTGGTACAAAACAAATTACAATTTCGGTTATCCATGACAATTATGTGATATGTGTTTTTTTAAGCAGCAAGAATATATTTTGGAAACTGATCCGAATAGTAGTCGCTGGAAAATCTTTACGAAAGCACTGCTTTCAAATTATGCTTAGGAGAGATTGACAAGTCTAGATGTAGGGATTTAACACAAAATCATTAAGCAGTGCAATAACCTCAGAAAATTCCTCGAAAAAGGAAACTTCACATTTAGCCTACAAAATGAATCAGTGTAAATTTCCCTTATTTAGGAATTGTTTTTTCTCATAACTATGGATATGTCATACTTAAAAGGTATGATCTTTTATGTACCCATTGTCAAATTATGATTCATAGATATAAGAAGATGTGGTATGAGTGCCAATGAGACAACTCTCCATCCAAATCAAAATTTATAAAAGTAAACCAATATAGGTCAAAGTACAGTCTTCAACACGGAGCCTTGGCTCACACTGAACAGCAAGCTATAAAGGGCCCCCACAAATACTAGTGTAAAACCATTCAAACGGGAAAACCAACGGTCTAATCTACATAAAAAAACCGAGAAACACTTATTAACCACACCAACAAACGACAACTACTGAACATCAGATTCCTAACTTAGGACTGGTGCAAACAATTGCAGCGGGTTTAAACGTTTTAATGGTACCAAACCTTCACCCTTATCTGAAACAATAGTGTAACATCACAACTTAGAAAGGCACACTATTAAAATATCAATTGAAATGGCTTAACTCAATCAAAAGACATATTAACACCAGTGAACATACACTGAACAAATAAATTTGATCTCTGATACAATGTAAATACAATATAAATAAACTAAGGGAAGAATAATTAAAGTAAAATGTTATACCGCTGTGAAATGTTAAACAATTTAAGAAAAAACAATATGCTTGAACAAACATATCAGCCATTTGCAATTACTTTAAACACAGGTAAATGAAAATAATTTCGTTGTTAGGTATACGTGTACAGTTCAAATAGAGAAAGGAATATTATTACAAAATAAATAATTTTGATGTTCATAGTACGAAGAAGTGAAAATTTATAGTAATACCAAACACTTATCAAAGCTGGTATATAGACCAGATATAACCCTGAATAAGTGAACATTAAATTAAAAAAAAGCATTACAATTAGTATCAACAGGTCAAATAAACAAGAAAGTACGATTTGAGAGTACTCGCAGTTACTGACAGCTAGTTAAAAGCCAAAAACAATTAATAATAAAAAATCATGCATCAGAGACTAAAATCAGAGATTTATTATTTTAACGTCATGGACAGTCAAAGAAGACATGACTTGTGCAATGCCAAAAATAAATGTATCGACAGGCAGTAGGATAGTTAGGAGTTAACCTCTTTATAGATCAAAATGAACGTGGGTGTGTCTTTATACATCCCGTTTGAAAAGAATACAAATTTAGTTATGTTTTAATTTGCTGATAACAAAATCGATATTAGTGTCAATGTAAACTATATTCAAAGATCTAATTACAACATTGGTAAGATAACCTTTCCTAATAAGTTTGTTTAACGGTTCGATGAGTTTACACGGATCACATAGTGATTTCCGCGCTTTAAGTACAATATTACCGTAAAATTTAGGATGTGAAATACCGTTTTTAATCAGTTTTCTACAGGTACAGCCAAATTTACTAATCAAATCTTTGTATCTATGAAAGAATTTAGTAAAAGTTTTATGTAATTTATGGTAACGAAATCCCTGACTTAATAATTTACCAGTGATGCATTGATTACGTTCGTTAAAATCTATGACATCACTACACACACGGGCATAACGAACGAGTTGGGATATATAAACACCGTATGATGGAGCCAAAGGAACATCGCCGTCTAAAAAAGGAAAATTAACAGTAGGGAATGAAAAGTCGTCTCTTTTGTCGTAAATTTTAGTATGGAGTTTTCCTTTTGAGATTGAAATGTCCAAATCTAGAAATTATACGATCACATAATAAATTATACGATCACATTATAAATTATACGATCACATGGCACATTATAAGATCACAAAGTCATGACATGTTTACGATGTATTGCTTGATTCATCAGAGATAAAGGGTGACACGGGGGGTGCTCATTCCCCGAATCCCACTTTTTAGTAATTTTTCCTACTTCCCACTATTTTTCTTGTTTTCCCCAGAGTCCACATTTTTTACTCCCTGTATCCCACGTCTCCACTTTTTGTACCCACTATATCCCACGTCCCAAAAAAACCCGTCAGAGATTGAAATAAAAGAATTTCAAACGTGCACTGCCTGCATTT